TAAGTGTTTTATAATCCTTTGGGGTTTAATATATATTGTGTACATGCGTCTAATATGATAGTCTTGCATATTATAGGAAATCTTTATGATTGACTTAGGGTTTATTTGATTTAAGCATGTATATTGTGTATGTATCTTGTGTAGGATTATTGATGTTGTATATAACTCTTATTGATTTGAATTACTATACTATTGTGATGATAATTCTACATTCAAGTTGATTACTATTGGTGATTGTAATTATTTTAGAATCTTAATACTATAAATGTTGTAATCTAGTATATAAAGCTTATTGTTGAGACATGGTTTAAATTGATGAGTTGTGGTATTATATTGCACATTATATCATGTTAAGAACTTGTCATTTATTATGTCATTCTAGATTCGGAACCCTAAAACATGGTTTGTGTGGTTTCAAAGATACTTGTGCATGGAAGGTGGTTTATATGCCTTAAATTATGATATATAAGTTTTGAACTTAATATATTTTGGATTCTCTTGGGACATTGTGTTACAAGTGACATGGCTAAAGTTTGGCTTTAGGGCGGGAGGTATGAGTTCTCCCCAATTGAGATAGTGCGCACTAGGGTGGTCTTCCCAACGGGTTAATGCCCGGAATAACCATATTGATCTTGGTTTAGTCCAAGATGAGATGTCCAAGTTTTCCATTATGTGATTTCGCATTAAATTTCAAGTTGACAACCAATGTTTAATTGTAACTTGTAATTTTTGGTTGATTGCGAATTGATGTTGTTAAGTACATTGACATTATTATGTGTTGTTTAAGAATCATTTAAGTTAGCTTAAAATGATCCCTTAGCACACCTTGAACATAGACGTTAAGTGGAATGCTCCCTTGTATTCGTCTATATTGATCTCACAATGATATTGAAACTTTAGGGTATACGCATATGCTTCTCCTACGAGTAACTTGATTACTCACCCTAGTGGTTTGGGTTATTTTTCAGGTAAAAAGACCATGTTCATGGATGCTCATCATCCTTAGAAGCTTTTGAGCTAGTTGAAGCATTTTTGTATATTAGCATGCACTTGTTTAGCATGTTTTATCTTTTGGATGCAATACTTTTGTATACCATGGATGTATGGTATTTTAAAAGCTAAGATGGCTTCCTTCATGTAATGTGTATCTAAGTACTCTCTTTGATGCTTGTTTTGTATGTATAACATGAGGCCAAGTGCCATATACATTTATATCACATGTATGCTAGTTTAATCCCATAGTTGTCTTATGAAATGATGAGAATTCGAGGTTTGACAGGTTGTATGTTGTATATGACATGTTATGTGACCATGAGCTATTGGAACACGTGTATTTACTCATTTTACATATGTGTGCATGTTCACTTTGGCACATAACACCATTCTTGATGAAATGAACACTTAGAGTAGCATTCATTTGCATATTTTTGTTAAATCAGACCTCAAGGGCATTTTTGGTATTTCACTTGAAAAATAAATGTTGGTCTTAATATGGTTGACCAGAAAACATGATTTTAAGGGGGGTTACTTCATAACTTTTTTCCAAAAAAAGACCTAGAAAGTCCTCAAAATTGCATTTCAAGGTTGCATTTCAGGTGCAGCTACAAGAGTTCGAGCGCTCTAAAAGGGAGTTCGAGCGCTCGAAGTTTGGACAGAAAGTTTTGGCCTTGGGCATGTACTGTTCGAGCACTCAAAGTCCTAGTTCGAGCGCTTGAAGTACTGTTCATAGGGTGTGTTTGTGTGTCTTGGTTCAGCACTGCACCTCTAACAAGTTTTCATATCTTCCTCGTTTTAACTCCGAATTGGTCCGTTCTTGAGTCTAAACTGACCGCATCAAAATAAGCTTTCCAATGGTACCAATTAGAGTTTCAGATTCCTTTGTTAGCTCATGTTATTCAAGTTTTAGTGGAGGGGTTTCAGTTTTTGGCTCGAACCGGGATAGGGCTTTTCTTCCTTCGACTTCAAGACTTGATATCTTTGCCGTCCGGACTCCGAATCAAGTGATTCTTGAGTCTAAATTCATTTATTTTTCATTGTATTTCCAACGGTGTGCTTGGTAGTACTCACTTTTAGGATGGAAATGACCATTTTACCCTTGGGTTCCTTTTGTCCATTTTTGAAATCTTGTTTCTGCATTTGTTTTCTTTGGGTTCCATGATCTCATTGAGGGTCTCTTTGGTGTCCTAGAGACATGTTGTGTCCCTAGGGATGTCGTTTCATCTTTTGCTTCCGTAATTCGGATCCGTTATCAGGTCATCTTTCGGTTCATCACTGACGCACCGGGTTGAAAAACCTTGGGCCATCACAATGCATGTGTTAGCATTTTATTGGTCATCATTTTCATTAAGCTCTTTATTTTGTTTTTGCTAAGGGACTAGCAAAATGTAAGTTTGGTGGTGTGATAAGCGCCGAATATTACATATTCAAGCGCCCTTTCTTGCATTAGTTAAGTCCATTATTAGGATAATGTACAATTTTTATTCATTTGTGTATTTCTTTCTGATTTCAGGTATTTTTTCTGAGAATGATCAAAGAAGCGGTTTTGACATCACTTGTGTTGAAACACGTGTGTCGTGCCGGGGAGTCATCTTTTGGACCGAACCTTTTATGTTGCAGTTTTTGCGAAGCCACGGCTTAGTGCTCATTGTGCTTCTGAGATGGAAACAAGTCCACGATCCAGTTTGATGAAGCTTGCAAGAAGTATGGTCAAAGTTGCAAATGGCAAGCTCCCGCGGGCGCCCGCCAATCCCCTCTCCTCTCTGCCAGCTTTCGCGGGCCATTCCTCAGCTCCCCTCGGAAGCCCCCACGAGCCACCACGGGCGCCCGCCAAACACTCCAGCATTGCCCTCGCTAACCCAAGCCCCCGCGGGTGCCCGCAAAACTGCAGCAGGCAATTCAACTGCCCTTGATTTTCAGCATTTTGGTCCCCTTATCCTTCTTTGTGTGGTCTAGCTTCATGCAGAGGGGGGAGCTCGGGATTTTGAGTATGGGGAGTAGGTTTTGAGTGTATATAGAGGGGGAAGCTCATTATTTTGGAGATATCTCACATTTTAGCTAAGTTCTAGAGAGGAAGAGAGGTGTTCTTGAGGTCTTGGGTTCTAGCTTCCTTGAGTTGCAAAAATGGAGGGTGGACTTGCTTCTTCCTCTTCATTCCTTGCAATGATGGGTAACTAAACCTCCATCTAGGGAGGTGATGAAGCCTTCCCTTGTAATCATGTTCTAGCTTAAGCTTTATTTTGGGGATAATAATGTATAATTTTTGGTCTTTTCATAATCTAGAGCATATTACCTCTTGTAATGAATTCTAATGTTTATAAATGATTGTTGTAAGTCAATTATCTTATCTTAGATGGTTTCTTAAATTAATCATAATGCTTGCATTTTCATGCTGACAATGGAAATAAGATTATGAATGGTTTTCATGGCATGTTGATAGAGAAACTTGATAGTCCATTGCTTAGGTATTTCTTTTGATGGTTTATACTTGATTCCTAACTTTATGTGCTTTATCATTTGATTAAAGGCTTGATAATCTTTTGCTTAAGATAGTATGTTTGATGCTACACCCTAGTTTAGGTAGTTCGAATGTATAAACTTTTGATGGATCATTCTTGTTTTGATTTAATGAACTTCTTAATGATTATAGGGCAACCATGCGTTGCTATATAATTCTTGACCATCATTTATATTGTCTATCCCCAATTTAGTCTTGATCTAGCATGCGTTTAGGGTTTAGTGCGGATTCACTTCCCTAGTTCCCTTTTTAATTGTCTTTGCCTCTTTACTTCTTAGCATTAATATTTTATGCACTTTTCAATTCATAAAATTAGTGACAATCCAACAAATCCTCTATAACCCCCTTTATTATTCTAAAAATGACTCTAGACACCTAAGTTGCCATAAACTAGCAGTTCCAGTGGTTCGACTTACCCGACCAATAGTCCTATTTTACAATGATTTGTGCTATTGCAAAAGGGTTGATCTATAAATTATAATCGACTCGTCGATCAATGTTGAAACCAATTGAAATTTAAATAAGCCAAATTTGGGCTTGTGCTTGGACCTAATTGTAAAGTCTAATTATTCTTTTTACTAAATGGAATCTTAGATTGGACCTTTAATTTTGGGCTGGGCTTATTTAAATGGGTGGTTGGTTTTTGAATTTAAATTAAAAGTTAGTTTTTTTTTCCAAGGGTTGCATCTGTTTTTCAAAGGGTTGCATCTGTTTTTCAGAGAGTTGTATCTGTTTCTAAAGGGTTGCAACTCAAAACCAACAGACATAATTATTTATGTGAACCATTGCAACCTATTCGAGTGAATGTGTCTATTGGTGAACAGACACCATGTGAACCATTGCAACCAATTATAGTGAATGTGTCCAGTGTGAAGAGACGCATATAAATGGTTATGTCCAATGATGACACTACAAGAAAAAAGGGCTTCTACGAGGAGTCAAAAGCGCCGTGAAAAGTTATTCACGGCGTATTGTAGGCCCTCGTGTATAAGGGTTCCGTAAATACTTAAATTTATTTACAACATGGATATTTACCCGTTAATAATTAACTTACGAGGTACCGAAGCATGCCATAGAAAAGTTTTCTACGGCGAATTGTAACTACCCGTAAATAATCTCACGAGGCACCAACACATGCCGTAAAAAATTTTTCTACGACGATTTTAACTACCCGTAAATAATCTCACAAGGTGCTGACATATGCCGTAGAAAAGTTTTCTACGGCGAATTTTAACTACCCGTAAATAACATAACTTTTTTTAAAAAAAAAATTATAAAACATTACCCTTAAATGCTATCTAATCATTCACACAACCTACAATTGTCTTCAATTTTCAACTATCATTTAATTCAAAAATATATCAATACATTCATAGTTACAATTCTATATGTTAATGTCAATAACCATAACTAAAATAATCTCTTGAAATGCCACATTAAACATATCAAAAGACTTAGAATATTTTTACAATTCAATAATTCATGATTGATCAATGTGCCAAAATAGGAAGTAAATCCATTTGCCAAAAAAAAATTATAATAATAATCAATTTCCTAGCAATTGAGTTTCAATCTGCACTTGTCAAAAACAACACCTCATTTTCCACGATACAAAATCCAAGCAAGTAGGTGCTCCATTGGTTCAGCAGCCAAAACTCAAATAGCAGGGTTGATAAACTTGGCAGCCAATGCAACCCCAGATATCAAACCTCCGCCTAAATTTTTTTTACCAGAAAAAAATGGAAAGCTCATCAAATTAGTAATAAAGATGATGCAGGAATAGAAAAGATGAATTAATACTTAGAAGTCATTAAACAAACCACATAGGAACTATTATAATGTATATTTGTGGGGCTTGCTCCAAAAGCTCTAATGATATGGTACCCTGCCCCCTGCGTAAACATTTGAACAATGTCATAGTGTATTCATACTCATGCCACAAGATTTTCCTTTTTTATTTTTTATAGTTTCTACATGCATAAATACCTCTCAAATGTGAAACATATTGGAGTTTCAATTGAGAAGGCATATAGATTTGAAGGATAATGGCAATGCAATTTCTTAAATGTAAAATCAGCATGTTCGGTGCATTCTTGACACAGGAGTCAAGCCTAGAAAATGTCTCTATTTTCCAGAAGTGAGAAAACTATAGGAATGAAAGAGAATCAGCAGCAAATGAGATCTTTTAGGTGTTCCAATTTTGCTAGTCCATTTGGTTAATTTTTGAGTGTCAATTTTCTAAACCACCTCTGAAACTGGAAATTGAGAGTCAAGTACCCATAGGGGCAGAGCAAGTGTGTGAGTTACTTGCCAAGTCAAATAAAATATAAAAATAAAAAAGTAAAAATAAAAATCAATATAGGAAAACAAGCTAAGTTCACCCGCTCGGACTACTTTATTTGACATTTTTACCTTAAGCATCACCATTTGCTTCCCTATATCACGTCACCCAGTTATTAACTCTCCCCCCACCCCCCAAACACACGTGCACACCTTACCCCTAGAGAAAAATTTCTTTGGACGTAAGAATGATAAATTAAATAAATCAACAAAATCATAGACATAGATCTCACAAGATTAACATGACACATACTTCTTGGAAGTATTTCTCTAAACCATGAGATGTGGGCCAAGTGTGGGATGGAGAAGATCTTTCTACTTAGCTAATTTAAATCTAAACCAGTTTTAACCCGTTTTTGTACACTAAACTGACATTATTCCAGCAAACTGAATGCACAATGACAAGTTTTCTTTTTTCTCCTAGTCACCACCATGCAGTGTTATTTTCTTTTGATAACCTTATGGTGACTACAGTGCTAGAACACTAGCTTAACTCACACCATGATAAAATTTCCTGGTGAAACAGTAATCCATGCATCCATGCAAGAATTCCCTCTTTCTTTGGAATTAATATCATTATTCGCTGCTATGGCTCTCTACATGACAAAAGTATTTTGGAATCTCTTTTTTCCTTTTAATTCCATCAAGCTAATTTCACACTTCACAGAGTCAGATAGGTTGTTGTTTGGTTAACAGCAAGACAAGTTTCAAGGTTCAAAACAAATCACATGTATATTGGCATAAGGCATGACATAGGTAGGAGACTGTTTTCAGCAATTCTAGTCAGGTTAATCTGAGGCATTTTTAAAGGACTAAAGACACAGGCCTATAATTCAACACAATATATATTCCAAAGTTTCTATTTTTTATAAATCTATCCACAAAGTATCAAAAATAAAGGTTAGAAAGAAAAACTCAAATGTGATACAATTAAGGCAAAGTAGTCCAGAATTTTTAGTACAAAACCAAAGACTATCTAGAATGCTTAAAAGTCAAAGTTCCTTCAAGTGCAGAAAAAGAAAACATATAACTCATGGTACCTTATGACCCGCCCATCATTATATGGATGAACAAGAACTGCACCGGTTTCTTGCAACACCTTGTTAACAGTATCCTCTCTTGATTGCATAGTGGCGTCATCGTCACTCCAGATAACTTGGCCACCGTAATGCATGACATTCTCAACTTTGCATTTTGGAGCATTTTTGGTACAACAATATATGCTGGAATGCCGCGTAGTTTTGCAGCCAAAGACAATGTTGCAACATGGTTACCACTAATTTTGAAAGATGTGAACAAGAATATTAGAAGGCGGCCAATGAAAATAAAGATGAAGTATTAATTAGCGTAGAGCAAACCTGCTGTGAGTTACAACCCCTCTAGCTGCCTGATCATCGTCAAGTGAAAAAACCGCATTGCAGGCACCTCGGAATTTGGAAGCTCCACTGATAAGCCATAGGAACAAATATAGCTGTTAGGTTTGGCATAAAACAATATGCGTCAAGAAAGAGGGTATGGATGTAAGACTGACTATCATTTGGAAGAAAAAGGAATTCGTATCTTCTATAATATATTAGAAATAGACTTCTCACCCTTTCTCCAATAACTACTTAAAAATATCCCAAAGTAAAAACCAGTAAAAATTCAACATTAGCATTTATACAGAAGCATATAAAGTTGAAATTTGTCCCATCAGTTAAAAGAACTACGATTCAACATTAGAAAGAAAAAGGAGATATCTTATAGAGAAGATGAGGCAACAAAATTGAGAACGAACTTGGTTTTGTGTCCAGTAATAATTTGATCATTCATCTATATTCTTTGCATTAGCTCTACAAGTTTAGAGAGGGTAATACATAGATGAAATACCAAGCAAGCAAGTAGTTTCAAGGGTAAATTACACTCACACCCTGTCCTTAGAAAAAAAAAATCACACATTCACACCTCGTCCGCTGAAGTCTGAAGCTTAAGCGACCTATTCATTTCAAACAATTAAACATGACCCTAAAGAAGATGGGAGAATAAAAGGAGAAGAAAAAGGGGAAAGAAAGAGTTAATAGTGCAAGGAAAAGAATATTAATTCATGACTTGAATCTACCACATAGTAAGCTTCCGAACCACTAAAACTAACAAAATAGTAAAAAAAACAGAAACCCATTATAAGTTAAGCCTAAATATAGTGAACCTTACACTAAAACGTCTATGGGCAAGGACTTTCGTCTGTGTTGCTTTCTATGCTTCTGATACATATGAGAGGAACAATGAATGGGTTGGAACTTGGAAGTGCTTCGGTCTATATGGGAGGTGAGTAGGGGATTTAGGGTTGATGTTTCATAAAAGAGAGTTGTGGGTAATACAAAGAAGAACATGAATTTGAGAAGGAAGACGAAGTTTAGATGAACAAGACAATACTGGGATGATTTACTCATACCGTCAATGAAATGAATTGCTGCTTACTGAAAATACAAAGCTACTCTTATTTTTTCCTGGATAATAATAAAATGACAATGTGAGGCTAAGCAAACTCATATATACAACACAGAACTCATACGTCAATCAACCATAGGCATTTTTTCAAAATACAAATAAATAAATAATAGTCCCAGTATAGAGAACAATCTATACTACGTAATTGCGATTTGAGCAAGAGAATAAAACATAGCCCCCACGAAGTAGAGATCTGTTACGTATGTATAATACTATGGATTTATACACTGTGCAGTATATATAATACACAAAAACTAGCCTCTATCATTGGATTATAAAAAAACTAGGATTCATGTAAATGGTATGAATCAACCAAATTATTCCCTACACTTGACCATTTTTTTTCCAGGCGTCGGGAAAGGGCCGTACAGTTGGTGTGTAATAAATTGATTTTCTTTAGACATTGTAAAGTTATTATAATTAATAATAATAATATTATTATTATATGTTAGGCTGATTAATTCACGGTATATGTGGTGTAGTTTAATTATTTAAGTTTCTATGTACTCGATCTCTTCAATTAATGCAACTGGAACTTGCATATTCAAATTGAAATTAATGCAACTGGAACTATCAAGAATTTTGTTCTTGTGAGCGACCAACCTCATAAAATTGGTATTAGGGTCATGATAGATGAAAGTGAAATTATTGTACCAAACTAGGAAGATGCTATAGTAGTAATTTTCTTAGAATTTAGTAGTAACATATTATTTATAGTGTATTAGTACTCCTAAATAATATATATGCATTAGCACTGCTTCTTGTCCATGAACTCATATACAACATACTTTAAAGGAATATATGATCAGTTTCATTATATATATATGAAAACTAAACTCTATATAATATGTTACCAATTAGCAATATTTACTACATGGTATTATTATCACACTCCTCTCTAATCTCTCTATCAATAAATTCTTCATGACTAGCTATTCATTATCCATGACATTATTGTATTACATTAAAAAAAATAAAAATAAAAATAAAAAAATCTTGTAACCAAGAATGTTGAGAATATCTGCTTTACCACTGCTCATTGTTCATGATATATACTAAACGAATGAATGAAAGAACATCAAAAAACTAAACTAATTAATACCAACTAACAGTTCACTTGATGGAAACTCAAGAAACAATAAAAAGGTATATAGAATTTAATCATATAACACCATATGTATATATATATAACTTGAAACTAACAATCAATAAGGCACGTGACTCCCTGTACACCACAAAATTGGTCACTTAAAGGAACGTGAACCCCCTCGAGCATGAGAAAAAAGCATTAAAAATGTGCAATAATAAAATTGATTAATGCTATATTCAATTTCATGATTTGCCCTAAGATTTTATAGTACACAGATGGAAGGCAAATACTATCTAATATAGTATGACAGAGCAACTTCACCATTTCAGATAGACAGAATAGGTGGATTAAAGAGACTGAGTCAATACATTGACGACATGGACATATAGCAACTAAAAATACAACTAAGAAACCAAACAAAGGTTCAGTTTGCACAAATTTTGCAACAAAAAAAATGTACCTGCCAATAATTCTTGGGTTCTACTCTATGTGTTATATCTTTGGTTCTTAATCTCTCTGTGCGGACAAGTTGTCCTCCATCATCTCTGCATCAGGGCAACATACATTAACATGGTGCATAAATTAGGTTAGAAAAGTCTTAATTAAAAAGGCAGAATTAAGAGTGCAGATTCAATAAATTAGACCTTAAAACCAGCCAATGAAAGGGGAAATAAAACCCTAGAAAAAACTAAGAATTACGACATATATATAGAGAGAGAGAGCGAGAGAAAAGGTGAGAGTACAAAGAGAGATACCTCAGAGGTGTTGCAAGACCTTGTTGATCCTACCAACAGTAGACTGATCAACAACACCCCCTCTCTTAATTCACCAAATAACAATAAACGCAAAATGAAACAAAAAAGGAAACAAATTAATTAACAAAGATAAAGAAAAATAAAATAACAAAACCCTAAAGCTAAGCCTAAGCTAAGATTTAAGAGTCAGATATCTTCCAATCAGTTTAAAAAAAAAATTCATGGAAGAAAATGATGAAGAGAGATAGAAGAAAAGAATCAGATGGAACATAGGTGGATGGAAATAGGGTTTATCTGTATAATTTTATACACAGTCACCGATTTCCTCACCAATGCGCGAATCTTTTTCTGTGATGTTTGATCATGCACATACGCAATCTTTTTTGCTGCCCATTGCCCGACTTTAGCCACTGATCTCCGTCACTCCATCTCTTCCTAAGATCCATTACTTTCTGATTTCCTCACCAATGTGTGAGTCTGAACAAGGTTCCTAAAATCAGAACAAGCGAACGTTAGAATCAATCAACAAGTTTCGAACCCTAGAATCGATCTAAGAGAGAGGTTGGATTAGGGCTTTCAATTAATGAACGAAGACAGATTTAATTGAGGGAGGGTTATGGGCTTTGATGGATTCCGAGAAAGAAAGGGATGAGAGTTTTTTGGGTTAGTGGTAAGAGTGTACTGATGACAGAGAGAACTAAACAGAGATTAGCGAGAGAGAAATTTCACCTCTGATTGCTCCAAATTTGGGATGGTGAAGCTTACCCGACAACGCGATTTGGCCGAAAACTCCAACATTGAACAAAAGCAACCACGAAGAGAAGCGCGAATCAGAACTCTAAGATTGAACAAAAGCAACCATGAAGAGAAGAAGCATAAACATGCTGGCTGTGTGGATCTAATCTGGGAACTGCACCAAGGGAAAGAGGGTTCCTAATGTGTCTGGGTCTCCGAATGTGAATGGGTCTGAGGACGAAGTGATATCTCTTAAAGTTTAGTTTTTGTTTTTTTTTTTTTTTTGAGTGATTTTTATTGTGCGGGAGTGGAAAATTTTGGCGTCGAGGAGGAAAATTTTGGGGCTGCTTATTTACGGGGCAAAAAATATGCCTTAAATGTGAAATTTTCAACGAGGAACATTTTTTCCGTTAAAGGTATACAAATATGTCGTAAATGTATTTACATATTTACGAGGTTTTTAATACACCATAAAAATGATTTTCTACGAGGATTTTGCTAAATCGTCGTGAAAATGTGTCCCTATATGTAACAATTACGGGTTTTCTTTTAAAAACCCCATAGAAGGTAGTTATGACGGGGTAAAACAAAAAAATGCCATAGATACTACGTCGTAAAAGACCATTTTTCTTGTAGTGTGAAGAGACACACCCACCCAAAAAGGCACCTTGTTACCTATAAATACCCCCCTTGGATCATTTGCAAATCATTCATTTTCATTTTCTTCTATCTCCCTCTCTAGACTTGAACCCAACCCAAATGGGTTCAAACCATAGGTTAAGTGGTCCGAACCACTTAGACCCTAATCCAATTTCATCGAGCTATATTAAGATTGGTCTGAACCATTTGGTTTGGATTGCATCCAATTTAACATTTATATAGTATAGATGCATTTTTGAGTCAGAGAGAGTATTACATGGAGAAGGTTCGCCGTATCCACGAGTTTGTAGTGCTGCTACTGGTGGATGTAGACCGTTGTATCCTGAGAGATAGACGCCACTGAGTCCGTTAGCACCATAGCGGGGCGAATCTGTCTTATAGACATAGTAGGTCCAGGTTCTTTATTTATTATTATTATTTTATTGCTTTATTTTGCATATTTAATTAAATATAGAGTTGCATATTTAATTAATGATTTCTTAGCATATTGTTAATTATCTCATGACATATTAGTATAAAATTTGTTATATCTTAAATGTTACATGAAGTATATATTTATCAACATTTATTTTTGGGGAGACAAAGGGAGACAGGCCTGAACGAAGCTTTAATTTCAGAAGGAGAGTTGAATTTCAAAGGAAGAGAGACGTGAACGAAGCGTCTTTCGCCAGATTCTACTTACTTCAATTTCAGAGGGACAAACAGCTGTACGAACCTCGACCGAGGGAGAGAGACCCTTTCAAAAGCTTCACCTTTGGCTGGATTGTTGATCAGCCATCGGAATATTAGTCACTCACTGGATCCTTCAAGACTTCAATTTCAGAGGGAGAGAGGGCATAGTTTCAGACACAAATAATAATACAAAATATGAGAATAAACATTTTACTTTTGGGGAGAATCACATCTGAGAATTTGGGAGGAAAAGCATAAACCTTTTTGGAGGGAAATTTAACCTCGTATTCGTACAGAACTGTAAAAACCTCTTGTACACATACATACGTAATAGTACATACATAAGTAAAGAAAATACTTTTTTTACTAACCTGCCATGTCAGCAACTGGAGGGTGTCCGGAGAGGAATTTTCCCCCATAGCACTACCCAATAATAAATCTTTGAGAATAGGATGATTTATTAATTAATTGTCTAAAAACCTAGGGCTACTTAAAAAAGAGACTATAATCAGATTTTTTTTGTGGGCCTTAGGCACTGTCTAATTGGCTTAGCGGTTGAGCCGGCAAGTAGGTCTGAGATTTGTGTTGAAAGGCCGAATTTCTATGCGGTATGCATGCATGACAACGACTTGAAACTGAAGGCCAAAACTTTTTCGATATTTATTTGATTATTTTAAATAATATTAATTGAATTTTATATTATATAATAATAATAGGATCGATCGATAATAATAATTTCCAATAGAACTATTGACAATAATAAGAACTATGAATAATGTAAACAGACTTACAGAAAACCTTCTTTATTGAACTTCCAAGCTGGTACAGAGAAATATTACAAAAGAGAGAAAAGGAAATTTTAAAGATACATTGAAGGGAAACTTTGCCCTCTATTTATACATAAAATGGACTTGAAATTAACATTTTGAAGTCCGCATAGTGCATGGGATCGTGTGCTGGAATAATGCAGTCGGTCGGCCCACCACTAAGTTCTGTCTCCTTATCGGATGAAAAGGGGATATCTGATGAAGGAAATACTGTAGAACCAAAGATTTTTGGGAAAAGTTCTTTGGCTTCTTCTGTCGGCAGGATAAGAGGAATCTTTACTTTTTAGGTGGATTCATCTTTTCCTTCAAGTGACTGGTAAGATAGTCCCAATAGTCGGCTACTGTAGGCTCATCTTCAGAAATAAGATCTTCATCGGGATCTTGAGCATAACCAGCGAGACAGGAAAACTGATTACCTTCTTGACTGGTCTGGCTAGAGACTGACACCATGGATGCATCATCTCGTACTGTAGGTGTGGAGGAATCAAAAGATTTAACAAATTTGGTCCTCATAAAATCCATGCATTTAACCATTAAATCAGCTTCGGTAATTAATGGTTGTTGTTTTCTGATCATATCTTTAACAAGTTCAAATGGGTTAAAGATTTCGGGTTCTGGAATAGTTAACTTTGGAATCTTATCCATATATTCCAGTGTTTTCTTTCTGATCTGATGGAGGAGGGCTTGGATAGGATCTTGAGTCATGCCTGACCACCATCGGTAATAAAAGATCCTCTGAAGGACTGGTAACTTATCAGTGGTATAACCACATTGGAAATCCCATTTCCAAATCCAAGGGATTCCAAATTCAGTAAAGAACAATAGGGTGGATTTCCCTACAGGAATATTATCCTGTCCCCGTAATTGAGGATGAAATTGTTGCCATGGCAAGTATAATTGTTTGACTGATTCGGGCAACATATCCAGATCATGGCCAAATATAGCCCACCAGGGTATAACCCAGTTTGGGAAATCAGTCTTAACTGATTGGGGGCATATCTTGAAGAACCAAGAATGCTTATGCTTCGGATTTTGATAAAAGAACGAATACGTCCAAGCTGAGATATAATCCCAATAATTATAACTGTGACCATAGGATATTTTCCTTGGAAAATTGGGATTTAATCCCCAGTCACTAGGCCGTATAAGCCTCTTAAAGATAGCTTTACTATAAGTAAGAGGACTATCTTTGGAATTCGGAAATTGCTTCGTGTGGTTGATCTCCACAGAGGAAGTTTCAGTAAGAATGGCTTCATAGATATATCTATGGCGACCATCTGGTGCAGCATATTGTTGAGTTTGGAAATATCTAGATTTTACTTCCCAAGGATCTGGCATCCATTGCTCATCTTGAGAATCCAGTACCAATACTGTTTGAATATACCTTTGATTAGGTATCCATGGAGTTTCTTGTTCAAGAACCTCTTTCATGGTTGGTTTCTGTTGTTTTTGTTGTGTACTGCTACTTCCTTTAGAAGGTGTGTTGAGCGGATCGGCAACATGTTCCAAATATGGAAATTATTATTATCGATCGATCCTATTATTATTATTTGGTATCAGAGCCATGATGGCTTAACTCTTTATTGTTAATGCTTTTAGGTACTAGTAGGATGATTATTATAGTAATTATGTCATGAACAATATGAATATTATTCTGTCTAACTTATGTTTAAACTTGATTCAATTATGGGTCGTCCAAAAGTCGCGATGGAATGTTTAACCCGTTTTTGCATTAGATTGCTGCACAGGGTACTGTTTCCAGTAAATCGTTGACAGACGAGTAATTGAATCTCTCTTAAGCAGAACGACGACAGAATAGTAACTTACTGTTCATTATATAATATTATAATATTTATACTCTATAGACCTTAAAGCATTAACAATATTTAACAGACATGTTAAAACCATCTTCCTCCTCTTCTGGAGTACAGGAAAACCAGGATTCAGAACTGGTAAAAAATACTGAATTAGTGGAATGGACCAATGTTCAAAATAAATTGAACAGATGGACTATCCCTCCAGTAAGTGCTAAGAGCATTTACAAAATCGGAATGCTTAATTTAACTGATCTATGGACTGTCAAGACCATGGAACAGACCATGCAATTAAGCACAAAAGATACAATAATTAAGTTATTGTCTTTCCGTGACCTTCAGAGGCACATGCACAAATATAAATACATCCATATAGGTTTAATTCAAATTGCTTTTAAACCTTTAACCTTGTTAGGTATGGATGCTTGTATTCAAGCAACCCTTCGGGATGCTAGATGTCTGAAATTTCACCCTTCCTTGATGGGTGCACTGGAAACCAGTCTATGTCATGGACCGGTTTATTTCAATGTCTATCCTAGTCTGAATTTATCTTTAACAGATAAAAATATCCATGAGGCAGTTAGTCTTCGGGTTCAGACCTATGGGTATGATTACTTACCTGGATCGGAAGTGATAAGTGTTATTTATCGCATCCATTACAAAATACTTGATACTATGTGTCCCAATGCCATACGCAAAGACTCTAAAGGAGTAACAGCGTTATGGGATACCAACATGTACACATCAAATGTTGCCACAAAAAGGATGATTCCTTGGAGTGAGATAACATTTCCTGAACACTGGACGATTTCTAATGCCGTTCCAGCACAGCCAATTGCTAATCATAGCTTAGACTGTGTTATTCAGGACCAAGATGGTGATGTTTTTCTGAATTTTAGAAAATCATTAGATCTACCTCGATCTACATCATCTAAAGGAAGTCATCTTCCTTATCATGTTTCTTGTCCTCCTTCTCGCCATTCGATTTCGTCGGATTACAGAAAGGAAGATCTTCCTGAAGTCATTGGTCCAAATCAACTAAAGCTGAAAGGAATACAGCAATCTCAGAATCAAATTCCAAGAGGAGTCTACGAGAAAGCACCAATAGGTATGTCTCGTCGCCAATTTGGAATTGAATTCAGCCCAACTCCATCTGAAATGGGAATCGGAAATGAATCTGTCAAGGATCAATTTGATGATCCTGCAGACATAAATGACCCTCATGAATATTAGTTTTAATGGATTTTGTCCCAGATAGAATTGCCATTAATACTGAATTTCAACAGGATCAATATAAAGAATTCAGAAATTGGTATTTTAAAGCTTTTGATCAAAATCAACTACAGCTTTTTAAAACTCAATTTTATGACTTTCTCCAAGAACGCAAAATAGTTATACCTTTTGTTTCTTGGTTTTATATGACCAATCATTCTCTTGTTAATATAAACATATTGGATGATTTTCTCAAACCATGGACCACATCTGAAGATAAGG